GTGGGTTTTAAAGGGACACCAAAGGGAAAGCCAGTGTTTTTGTTTGGGGGTGGTTCACCCCTCAGCCTAGAGCGGGTTCTCCACCGATCGGTTTTGAGAACGGCTCCCTCGGTGTCTCGGTGTCCCTCGGTGTCCCTCGGTGTGGCGGAGATGTTCTGTGGCTTCCTGAGGGAAAATTGGCCATTCGAGTCTTGATGACTTCGTTAGGGGCAGAATGTCCATTTTTTTTTAAACTATGGACTAAGATGATTTGGATACTAATGCTTTTTCTATCTATGGACTATGGTAAGTAATTTGATATTTGATTTGGACATTGAGATGAACGGATTCATATTAATTTTTTTGATAGTACTTTTTGATTTAAAGCAACACATTCGGAGGCAGCACACTCCCCAGCAAATTGGGCGTTCAAGAGTTTCGGGGTGCCAGTTTCTCTTGCCCAGTCGCACTTGTGGCGCATCCTCCGCTCAAACTTGACAAACCTGCGAATAGGTTTTTGGAGGGCTCCGATCTTCCACGAACCGCGAAGCTCGCTCTGTGAGTTCCGTTTCGGAGGAGCGCCACGTTTTTAGGTTTGGTTGCGACCGTTTGAGTGGCAAACAAAAACAAGCGTGGGAGCTTTTAGCTTTTGGTTGGCCAGTCAAGTCAGGAAGTGAGAACGGTTTTTGGGCATTCTCCGTTTGGACAAAAGAAGGGAATCACCTTTAGGACACTTTTTCTGTGGAGGGCTTGGAAATGGTTCAGCAATGCCCAAATGGTTCCTTCCCACCTAGCGGTTTCCCGCAAACGAAGACTCCCAACCAGCGGGCTTGCTTGGATTCCGGCTTATTTTGCGATATTTTTCTGGCTGGTGGTGTCTTATTGGTTTCAACTGGGAAGCCAAGAGAACCAAAGGCCGGGAATCCTCCAAACCAAAATGCCTGAAAGCAGCCTTAACACAGATGAACTCTTGTAGAATTGGGACCCCGCCAAAATGGCGCAACGGTTTTCCTTTTGGTTTCCCTGTAAAACCACCAGCCAAAACGACCCCGCCAAAGTGGCGCAACGGGTTTTCCCCTTTTTGTTTCCCCTTAGAGACAAAAGCAATTTTCTGCATCCGCTCAAAAAAAGAAGTGGTTTCCCGGTAAAACCACAAACGACTGGGGCATCAACTCAAAAAAGGCCGAGCCACCCCTATCTTTGGTGTATTTTGCTTGGATGTTAGGACTTGAACTTTTTGCCAACTCATGGGTTTTCCGAATTAAACCACTAAAAGTTTCAAGCAGAAAGCAACCAAGCTCATGCCCTTTGTGGTTGCCCTTTTTCTAGGCGTACCTTCCATTTCCATAAGGGTGGCTATGCGAGGGGTTCCTTCCTTCCATGGACCGAGCTACGTGAGGCGAGGGCAGCTTCTACAAGACCCTGATGAAGGCCTTCGAGGCCAAGGCCGCGGCGGACGCCGCCAAGAAGGCGCGCGGCGCGCCGAATCCGTTGGCGGGGACCGGTGTGACGCCCCAAGGGACGAGGTGATGCACCGTCTTGTGGTGCTTTTAACGATAGATATATACATACATACATGACTATAGATATTAATATGGTCCAATATATATATATATATATACATATATATATATGGTCCAGTATATATATATATATGTTGTCTATGTATGCGTTTGTGATTTATTGTTTACTTAAGACAAACCACTTGTTGATATACTTATCATTCTTGTTTTTTAAAATAAAAACAACAATGTATCGATTGACTTGTTTGTTTGTTTGTTTGTTTGTTTGTTTGTTTGTTTGTTTGTTTGTTTGTTTATTTGTGTGTTTGTGTAGTTATTTATTTATCTATTGATTGTTTGGCTTATTTATGTTTTATTTCTGGTTGCTTTGTTGGTTTATCTATTTCCGTGTTTATTTGTCCATGCATTTATTTAGTTACTTTTTTTTGGGTGGGGGGGTAAGACGGCCATGTTGAACTCGGGGAACATGACTCGCAGTCGACAGGTGCAGCAGTTGCAGTGTCCGTCAACTCACTTCCCGAGTTCCCGGACTTCGGCGGCCACGTTTTTGGGTTTGGAAGGGCCGTTTTAGTCGAGGCCCCCCAGCAATTGGTGCCCTTCTACCGTTTCTTTTTTGGGTTGAGAGATTCAGTTCCCCTACTAAAATAGAGAACAGACAAAAAGGGTATCCTTATTCTAGCCTCTCAAATCTGGAGGACCTAGTAGTGGCAAACAACAAGTGAGGGAGCTTTTAACTTTTTGTTGGCCAGCCTGTCAACTCAGGAAGTCTTCGAATGGTTTCGGGCATTCTCCGTTTGGACAACAGAAGGCCTCACCCTTTAGGCCTCTTTCTGTGGCGGGTTCAACTTGTGGCCAATCTACTCGCTCGGAAGTGAGGATAAGGTTTAGATTGGTGGTTCTGGCCCCATCGGGGAACCCCACGTTTTTTTTCTCTTCTTTTTTTTCTTTTCTTTTTCTCGAATAGCTCACCTATGGCTCCGGGCATGTCTGAAGCCTTTTGGGTCCATCAACACCGGATGAGTCAAGACATAACGGAAGATCCCGCTGGACCCACTGGTCAAAGAAAGGCGTCCGACCTGGATTTCCTGGGGCCCTCCATTTTGACTGGGGGGGATCAAAGTCAGAAAAAGGGGGTTGTCTCTCTCTCAAGCTTGCCACGGGGCTGACTTTGATCATGATAAAAATAATGGGCCAGATGTCCGGGACAGCGAGATGCGGAGAAGCCTTTCGTGTTGTTTTTTTGGTGAGGCCCCAGATTCTGACGAACATTTGCCCATTTCGGTTTGGTCAAAGGGAGATAGCTGCGATTCGACACGAGCGGCTCTGGAATGACAGTGGCATGGGCTCTCAAGTGCAACCTGAGGGTCCCCGAGAAGGAAAATGGTGTTCCAGGATTTGCTTGGGTTCCTTGTCGCGTGGTTTCCTCGAGGTATATAACCCAGACCAGGCCTGCCAGTTGACATTTGTTTGGACCACCCTGGAAGCCACCCGATTGACATTTGTTTGTGAGAACATCAGTTCGTGCCTGCATTGCTTCAGCTCCTCTAGGAGTTGATTCCCCATTCAACCATCGTTCTTTTCAAGAACCAGCCGTTTCCCCAAGGTTCGTTTTTTTTCTTTTTCTTTTTCTTAATTAGAAAGATCCGGATGCCGGGAAAGAATGGGGAAATGGAAGGTTCCCCTACATCTCCCCTTGTTTTTCAGGCTGCGGAGAAGAAGGAGGCTGAGGGCGAGGAGGAGGCCGAGGAGTGAAGCGCCGGTAGCTCCGATCTGAGGATCTGAGACACGGCGTTGGAAGGGATGGAGCGAGCGATGGGCGCAGCGTTTTGGACGGAGCGGGGGGCACTTGCCGGATGAAAAAAGAAGAGCCGCGCGCGGGGCGTTTTTTGCGCCTCTGGGTCCAGACGTCGAAAGGGACAGGCGTCGAAGTAGGGGAATCATTTTTTTCGGACCGGACGGCTTGTACTGGCAACTTTGTTCAGTCAAGGAGAAGCTTACTGGTCAGAGGAACTCCTGCAAAGGCAACAGATCCCCTACCAAAATAACATTGATTAGTATGTCCCTCCGGATGAATCCGGAGTTGACATTAGGTTGCTTCTACGCAACAAAAGGAGTAGTTTGAAAACCTGAAACAGGCTGCCCCCTGTTTCGAATCAATTTGGGTCACCCGGCAAGAAAGGCGAGGGAACTCGCGAAACCCTGGCCAATCTGCCATGGTTTCTGGTTGGTTTGCAAGTGGCTGTAGATTTCAAAGCAGCATGGCCTAGAGGTATACAGCACCATGAAAGAAGCTATCCAAAGGCTACGAAATCCCCACCTGCCAATCCCAGCAATGTTACACTGTCTTTCTACCCTTATTTGCTTTAGAATGTCTATCATGCTTCCCTCTTTCACTGCTGGGAATATTACGTATTTTTCCAGGGGGCTTAAGCAAATGGAAGTCGAGGTGGGTTGGTGGTGCGTTTGCTTGCTTTTCATGTGGCTGTGGCTCAAAAACACGTACCAAAATGGCACCTTTGGCAATGGAACCAAAGACTATATCCCGCGTAACCCTGGCTCTTCAATTTTGAGCCACACCCATGTCTCGTATGTCCACACTTTAGAATGCCTAGAAGGGGTCGTAGCGCTGGGAAGGGCCAACCTTCGGATTTTTTCTCGGAACAGAGGCGAAGACATTTTTTGCGGGCATTGTCAGAAGGCCCACTCCCTGAGTTCCTGGTGCTCCTGCTAAAATAGACGTCCTGACAAAAGTGGGTACCAACTTATTCTAGCCTCGAAAACTGGAGGACCTAGCTAGACTTTTTGGGAAGAGACATGTTGTGTTAAATCCAAAATGCCAGCTTTTGTGGGCCAATCTACTCCGGAAGTGAGAAGGCTTTCCTTAGCTTTTTGCCTTGGTGTTCCATGAATTTCCCATAGCAGACAGTTGAGAGACGTTTTGCAGCAGGTCTGTTGGAGCATTAAGACCATGCTTTTGGATGGTTTTTTTTTCTTCGTTTTTCGATAGGGAGTCGTTACAGAAATATGGATATTTGGTGTACGGAGCTGTCAGAAAAAAAGGGGCCCTGGTCTCCTGGCACCATTTTTCACCCCATAGACTGAAACCCAGGCATTAGCTTGTGGGTGTGTCTTCTCAGACCCCATAGAATTGGTGGTTTTCCCTTTTGTATCGCTTTAAGCCCACGAAAAAGGAGGGGATCTTGCGACTACATTGTGGACTTCCACCCCAAATGTCGAAAACCACCTGGATGTCAGTCTACCTGCACCCTGCGGCCATGTCTACCTTGTCCTATGGTTGTTAGGAGCCCCCCCGAACAGGGCCCAACAAGGACAAATGCTCAGGGGGCAATATGCGTCCTTTTTCTCAGTGCAAAGCGAATCCACCGTTGAACCCTTTGGATTTTCCCTCGGAAACCAATTTGAGTCAAGGTCCCCAATGGTGACTACCATTTTGTTCCAGGTCCCTAAGGAGCAACGATAAACTCACACACCTTAACATTATGCTGTTAGAAAGTGATTCTTAATGAAACTTGTACAAACATATGATATAGCATTCAACACACATATTATTTCACTTGTTAGAACTATATCCTACTCATACTGTGGATGGACGAAATCCTGCACCACTTTGAAACCATGGGAAACCGCTGTTTGACAGTATTTACAGGAAATCAGACCATTCCAGGGTTTCGCAGGATTTCGTCCAGTGGATGGACAAAATCCTGCACCACTTAAGAAACCCTGGAATGATGATTATCTTGTAAATACCAACAAATTATGGTTTCCCATGGTTTCAAAGTGGTGCAGGATTTCGTCCATCGACAGCAGGAATCCCGATCCACATTCCTCCAAAAGGAAGGATTTTTCTGGGAACTCAGGTCCTGCCGCCGGGCGAGCTGCCTCCCCCCGCTATCCCGGGGCACAGGCGACTTCCGGGTCCCTCGATGACAGCCACGTCGACGTCCCGTAAACCCTTTTTTTTAACCATTTTTTTCTTCCCCGTTTTTTTTCTTCCCCCCTTCTTCTTCTCCGTTCTTTCCCGGATGTTCGGTTAACGCTTTTTTGTTTTTTCTTTTTTTTCTTCGGAAATGGTTGGTTCGCCGTACCGTAGGACCGCTTAGCATGTTTTCTTGGGTAGATAGGGAGGGAATGAGAATTGGAATGACCGGGAGAAAAACACCATCCCCTATGGTTTCCTCTTCCGGATCATTCCCAACATGCTGAGTCATTCCCTACTGAGCACCAGCAAGTTTTGTTTGAGAGGGATTCATGACATATCCAAGAGAGAGTCACGAATGGGCAAATCGACGCACTGAGCATTCAAGAGGTTTCGCGCACTTCAAATTTCCATTGTGGATTTTTTCCATTTGCTGAGTTCGTCCTCTTTTAATGCGGCCCTCTTGGTTTCCAACGGGAATCGCTGTTGCCGTTTTTCATAGCACCTGAAACGAAAGGCAGCGGGTTTGCCCGCCCAAACCAAAACACTTCCCTAAGAGGGCGGTTTGGGTTGAACTCTTTTTGAGATAGCCTTGCTCGACATATGGATTCTCATGAAGTGAAACCTGTTGGAGTGGCTGAAAAAGGGCGCCAGTTTCGGTGTTTCTGTGGTCAGGAGTGCTTTTCGGGATGGTTTGGGTGTTTTGGGGGTTTGCCGGGTGTTTTGGGTGTCTGTGTTTCTTCCCGGTGTTTTTGGTGTCTGGTCGGCAGCCCACTAAAAAGGGAAACAAGAAGGAACACCACCAATTGTGGGCTACCCAAATTTTGAGACCTCCAAGTCTCGTCTGGCAATAAGCTCAAAGTGGGTCAATCACCGGTGTGTACTTGCCAAGAAGCTTGGATGTTCAAGTTTCCCCTTCCCCCGCCCCGGTGTTTAAACGAGAGGTGGTTCAAACATGTTTGAACCAAGGGTCCAGATTTTGACTGCCTGCAATTAGACTAAAATCCAGGAGTCCCTTTTGTTCTGGTACATGACCCGCCCCTTTTAAATCATTGTTCGGGGTAGTCAAAAAGTGGAGCCTGGTTTGAAACGTTGGCGCAACCCTGAAACTATCAGAATTCAGATTTTCATGGGTTGTCTCAAAATGCTTGGAACACTGCAAGATGGCAACGTATTCCTTTTGGTTCTCCTTCAAACCAACCCACAAAAACAGAACTCTCCCCCCCCAACAAAAATGAAGAAGAAGGCCCTTGGAAATTGACGGCCTCTGGTTCGGAAGCCAGGCCGCCCTTTGACTACGGCCCGGCCCCCAAGGAGCGACTGAGGGGATCCCTGCCCGGGCTCGGTTTGGGTTTTGGGGATATTTGCTGGAACCACTCGGAACCCTTTTTGGGTTTGGTTGAAACGGAATTTCAGGAAGGCGATTTGGAGGCCCCCACGTTGGGAGACAAACGCGAACTTCGCCTTTCGGCGGGACAAGTTGGACCTTTGGACATTTGGACGTGAGCCTTGGCTTGCTTCCTGCCGTGAAACGAACCGTTGCCTCCGGGTTCAGATCTGTGAAGCTGGCAGAATAAGGTTGGAGACGTTCGGCCGCAGGGACACCAGACATGAAAATGCTTCCTGGCTCACTCTCGGGGTTGGAGCTGTCAGAAATAAGCAGGATTTGCTCGGATGGTTGACAATGGGCAAGATGGGCGGAGGCCGTGACGCATATTTTTTGGCCAAGCGAAGAGTCTCTCGAGAAACCAAGGGGGCAAGTTGTGCAAGGGGAAGTCTTGCGAACGGAAAGAGAAGTTTGCCTCTGCTAAGAGGAAACTGGACGACTCCCGGATGAAGGTGCTCTTGGCAAGACTTCTTGGCCTTTTTGGGTTCTTTCGTTCGATTCATTTTCTTAGATAGGGGTCTGCAAAACCAAAGTGTTTTGCGAGCTACCCAAGGTTGTGAACTGGGCAAAATCAGCAAATCCCAAGGCGTTTATGGCCTGCCTGGATGGGCAGCAAGACTTTCCTGGAAGTGTCTCAAAACTAGGGGCACGAAAATGGGTTGTGTTCCCTTCGCTTCCCTGAAGCCAAAGAACTGTTTTTGGTCCGCCATTTTGAGAAGCCCAGCATTTACTCTGAAAGCTTGTGAATCCTCGTTTTTGGAAGAAACGGTTGCTTCCATTTGCTGAAATGCGTATTTTTTCCATTTCCCCCTGTTGATTTTGCAAGGAATCTATCACTACTGGACATGTTTTTTGTTCCCCCCTCCCCGCACCACTGGACATTTTGTTTGATTTTATTTTTCTGGGCTTAAGCAAATGGATGGTTGGTTTGAAGGAGCGGTTGGTTTTCGTAGGGAGCCCGGAAAAGTCGCACGCACCGCTCTCAGGTCCGCCTCCCTTCGATGGCCGAGGGCGCGATTTGAGTTGGGGCCGGGGGAGGTGTCCGCGCTGGGAATAGGGCGAAAGGGGTAATGTTGACCCAGGATTAATAAACCTGACCCATTGGGTGGGTGTTCCCTCCAAAAGTGGTCTGAATCCCCACTAAAAGGGAGCACCCCCCGATCAAAATCAACCAGGGGTTTAACTTCATCCGCGGTTGACATTAACTTCCATGTCCATTCTTCTGGGTGAATTATAACGACCGAATTCACGACCGAATTCACCCCAAATGGTGGTGTATGTGGGGAATATGTTTTTCCAACCACCTTATTCCAGGCTGGTGAAATATGATAGTTCACCTAGAATTCTTTCCAGGCATCCGGATCTTTTCAGGGAAACCACCCAAAACCCTGATGAAGAAATGCATTGGCCGAAGATCGGCTGGGGTTT